GCATGTACACTTAGGTCCTCAAGACCTAAGTAAACTTTGTTTTACTCATAAGATATAAGACACAAATAATCTATATATCAAGTTGACGTTATTTTCCTATATAAAAACATTTTTCCATTCCATCCATATGCTTTGAGTCTGGGTCACTATACTCACCACATTTAGAACCAAGATAAATGCAGAATATCCCTAGGCAAGCTTTACAAAGCCTCTGAGAGAATAATGCAAATGGCACTCCGAAGACAAGGCTATCTTCCTGGGGTTAAAACAACTTTCAATGTAAATGGGCATGATGGGGCAAAATGAACAGTGTGTTAACACTAAAAGGACATGGCATTGTCCTTCCAGGATGAGGCCCATTAAAGTCATTTTTTAAAAGCATGGACCAGTTATACTGAAATGAAAAGAAGTTAGCAAGTTGTTATGCGGGTTTTGCTGCACACATGGTTTGGGCATAATCAGAAACTCTAATCATAAGAGGCTGCAGGAGCATCATAATTGCAGAAGAGGGAGGGCCACTGGGTGTCAGACTTTCAGGGGGGAGCTGGAGATTTATCGCCTCAGCGGTGAGGCAGGTGAATGATGGATGGGGTGGCTTACTGTCACTCCGGTGAATTTAGTGAGGAAGTGAAAAGCAGCCTCGGGAGTGGGGGTGCGAGAAAGAGCTGGGATTTATGAACTGAAATATGTATTATAATGGAGCGGATTTCAGGACTCCCAGCCTTACTTCAGCCATAGCTACAGCATTATGGATGAGCCTCAGATGGGGTTGTAATGAGACCTTTCAGACCAACTGAATGCATGTCATCATAAACCACACAGAATGGATCTGCAGGCATTCCACATCCATGAAGGTGAAGGCTTCATTACACATTAAGTTTTTCTTTCTGCCAATAGAGATATTGGCTAAAGAGCATGTTAACAAAATTAGATTTGTTGTCTTTTGTTTCCTGAGCCCCTGTACCTCTTGTTTGTGCTATTGATGTTTCTTGACACAGTCCTGGAGAAGAGCAGAAAGCCCCAAGGGGAAGACTAAGAATAAGGAGCCTCCTGGTTTCACTGCTCCCTTTCCTTTTTCTGGTTATTTCAAAACTACAGGTTTGTAAGGTGAGCAAGCTGGATTAGCAACAGTGAACTTCAAGGTCCTTCTTGTTCTAGGATTCCATGAAATAAGAAAGGGATTGTGACTCTATTACCAAAACTACAGACTAACTCTAGATCCTTCAATGAAAAATAAAATCAAATATATAAAATACTAACAGCAACTTAATACCAAATCATAAAACTATCAAAACATTAGCATGTAATATCCATAAAATACCAGGTAGATTTATTGATTTTTGTTAGATTTGTTTAGGTGTTTTTATGCAAGTATATTCTATATCTATATGTCTGAGGTAAAAATTACACCGTGTTTCTGTCTATAATAAAAATATTTTATTAGTCAGCAAGTAGGATACCTATTATCAAAAAAAAACCCCAAAATAAATGTTGGTGAGGAGAGAAATTGGGACCCCCCAGCCACTGAAGATGGGAATGGTGTAGCTACAGTGAACAATGGTATGACTATTCCTCAAAAATTAAATATAGAATTACCATATGATCTAGCAATTCCACTCCTGGGTATACACCCAAAAGAAAGGCAAGCAGGGACATAAATCAATATTTGTACATCCATGTTTATAGTAGCATTATTCACAATAGCTAAAAGGTAGACAAAAGCCAAGTGTCCACTGAACAGATAAATAAAATGTGGTATATGCATGCAATGGAATATTACTCACTCTTAAAAAGGAAGGAAATCCAACGCACACTACAACAGGGATGAACCTTGAAGACATTATACTAAATGAAATAAGTCATTTGCAAAATGACAAATATTATATGATCCCACTGTGAGATACCTGGAGTCATCAAATTTTTAGAGACAGAAAAAAGAATGGTGGTTGCTAGAAGGAGGGGGAAAGAGAAGTTAGTGTTTAATGGGGACAGAGTTTCAGTTTGGGAAAATGAAAAAATTCTGGAGAAAAATGGTGGTGATCGTTACACAACAAAGCGAATGTTCTTAAAGCCACTGTACATTTAAAAATAGTTAAAACAGTCCATCTTAAATTACAGATATATTACCACAATAAGAAATATTCTAGTAACATAAAAAATAATTAATATAGAAGCCCCAATTTTTCTTGAGAAACAGCATCATTTTCATTAGCTTTCTGTTCTGACCAGATTTGGGGGTAATTTATGTTTCAGTGTTCTTATTATAAAGAAATCTGTTACCAGAAAGTGGGGGAAATAGATGGTTGGTAAGTAAAAGCAGCAAATGCTCTCTATGCCATGACTGCAAAGCAGGATGCAGGGCTGTAGTAGTTGGAAAAGCTACAAAACAAGTCAGGGAATAAGGGTTCAGTCAACAGAGAGAGAGGGGGGCCATGGAATATACAAGAAGATCAGGAGGGATTTTGTAAATCATGAGTTTTAGTTTGGGAATCTCCTTCTCCAACCATAAAATGGTGGATTCATCAGATACTATTATTTTTGAACTGACTTCAGTCATCACATATTTATTTTTTCTATTAACTAGTTTCACATGTTTTTGCTTCTCCCACTGGACTGTAAGGACTTTTAGCATATAATTGATGCTATATTTATTCCTAGCTTCCTTATAATTCACAATAAAGACACCCTTGCTAATGAATGAATGAAGAAGAATGGTGAAGTAACACAGTGCCCATCCTATCAGAATTCATAGTGCAGGAAAATACTGATTTGTCAATCACACAATTAGAATATATCTTAATTGATTATTTGAGCCACCTACTCAATTCAGGAAAAGGTATTCAAAAGATTTTCTTAATCTACAAGTACAGAACAAAATATACATTCTGGGGAACTGAACCTACCACAAAATAACATAATGTATTGAGAACGATACAGTAAGTTAATAAAAATAATAATAGTTAACATTTATTTAGCACTTTCTAACTACTAGACCCTGTATTAAGCACTTTCCATGGATTCTCTCTCTCTTTTTTAAGATGTATTCATTTATTTGAGAGAGAGAGAAAGAGAAAAAGGGTGAAGGGAAGAGAAGAGGGAGAGGGAAAAAAATCTCAAGCAGACTCCCCACTGAGCACAGAGTCTAACTGGGGCTCCATCTCACAACGCTGAGATCATGACCTGAGCTGAAACCAAGAGTTGGACACTCAACTAACTGAGCCACCCAGGCACCCCATGGACTCTCTTTTTTTTAATCTTTACAACAAATTTGGAGGTATTTATTTTTATTTTACAGACAGAAGAATCCAAAGAGATAAGGTTAAATAATTTTTCCAAAGCTGCATTCAAAATTATTAGGTTGATCATTTAAACCCAGAGAATTGAATCCAGGTACTATAGAATTTTAAGACAAGTGCATGTTTCTTATCTGGTGATGTCGTGAAAAGCAGATCAGGAGCACTTACTTTGTACACTGTCAGGCCATCTAACACATATGACTACTTAATTCAAAATATGTGCTAACCATACAATGACTGTTGGCGAAATTGTGAAATCCTCATGATGATCACTGATGATTATGGAGCTTTTTTTGTTTTGTTTTGTTTTAATTTTTAAAGGAGTGAACATTTTAGTTGTTTTCAGTAGTGAAAAAAGTCATTTAATCTTTGTCAGGGAGCATCTGCAAGCCTGGGGCTTCTTGTGGATTGCAATGTGAACACATACATATTTAAAATAAAAGTGACAGGCCTATTCTTGCAAAAAAAGGAGCTAAAATATTTTCTTAAGGAAAAGATCAACTTTTAAGAGAGATACTTAAAAATAGCTATTTTTCAATAAAACAAAAGTGATATAACCATTTAAAATGTATTTCTTAGTTACACATGCCAAATAATTAAGTATACATAAGTGCCCAGTTTAAGTGCTCATTTGAAAACATCTCTTGCAAAGCATGGCTCTATGGGGTGTTCATAAAACATAAGCTCAGCCTTCTATTTGGCTTTTCAATATGCTAGACATACATAGCACATACAATACCACTGATCAAATGTACATTCATGGGGGATTAGTATCTAGCCCATTTTACACTTTTGCTTTAGTGCATGACCATGAAGACCTAGCCTATAGCTTCATTCCTCCAAAGGCCACTTAGCTCTACACAAAGAAAATATAATTACATGGAGCTTCTCTGTACCTTTACCCTTTCTGACTCTTGTCTGAATGTGTCATATTGTCTTGGGCAAGACAGTTTCTATTGTGGAAAAAAAACACAACTAAATAGAGCAAACAAGGACTACCACCCCACTCTGATCAGGCTACTCAAAATACACACCCTGATTTATCAGTAATTAATCAGTAAAAATTTCCTTGTCTTTTAATAAAACCCATTTAATGATTATATTTTATTTTTAAGGTTGTTTTAATAAAGAAAAACAGATGCAGAAAAAAGAGTATACAATGATTATGCATGCATGTTAGTGATTTATTATGAAGGGAATATTTCCATTTAATGACTCCCAAGGTAAGCATGATCCTAATTTCTAAGACTACAGTTTATTTTTCTCTTAGCATCTGGTTGTTATGAAAAAAATGTATACTCACATTTTTGTTGGTCTGTACCAAGGGGTGGAAATTGCTGCATCAAAAGGCAGGCTTATATTTGATTTTAAGACAGCACCAAACCATTTGTAAAATTGGTTGTCTTATTCTCCATTCTCACCAGCAGTACCCGAGAGTTCCCATTACCCACATCGTTACCAAACTTTTTATAAGCAACATGGAGTGGAGTTTTATTGCTGTATTAGTCTGACAAATGTTTTCTCTTCATTGGAGCATTTCATACATTTATATTTCATATGTTGATGTTTTGTGATATAAATGTATAATATTACTATTTGCTTAATGTATGTTCCACTTACCTCTTCTGCTCATTCATGAGTCCATCCAAAGCTATGCTCTGCTTCTTTGCCTTTTCAGTCACTCCAAGCTTCATCTGAGACCCTGGAGAGAAAAGCAGCCCCAATTACAATTTTTGTAAGCATTCCACTGTACATGTTCTTATACGCACACACATATATACATGTCACACATGTATATATATGCATTAAAATTTTATTTATCTTATTTTAGAGACAGAGAGAGTACACATGCATTTGGGTGGGAAGGCAGAGGGAGAGGATTTCAAGCAGACTTCGTGCTGAGGACAGAGCCTGAGAGGGGGCTTGATCTCATGACCCTGAGATCATGACCTGTGGAGAAAGCAAGAGTCGGACACTTAACCCACTGAGCCACCGAGGCATCCCTGTATATGTTCATGTATTAGTGCCTTTTATGTGCTAAGCGTTTTATATACCTTGTCTCATTTTCTCTTCAAAAAAATATTTGAGAGAGAAGAGGGAAGGAAAGAGGAGGGGAGGGGTGGGAAGAGAAGTTAAGTAATGTAGCCAAGGTCAGACTCACAGATTTAGGAAGTTGGAGAGGGCATGGGATCAAGACCATACCATTTTTCAAAACCTCACAGTGCCTTTTATAGTAGCAGATGGCTCACATTTGCTTTTTAAATATAAAAGATTTAAAATAGATTTTATAATTCTACTTAACAAGTGGCTATATCTTTCTCTAAGAATATTTAACTATAATTGTACCAATTATTCCGGTCAAGGAAACCTACGTCTGTGCACACAAACACACACACACACACACACTTATGTGTGTATATACCTATAATATATATAATTTGAAATGTGTTCTTCCTTTTTATTTATATATATATGTATATGTGCATATTTTTGTGTATGTATATAAAATTTAGAATGTTTCCTTCTTTCTTCTCTTTTAAAAAAATTATAATCAAAGAAGTGAACATGTTATAAATACCTACTTTGAATTACTTCTTAAATAAAAGACTTCTAATATAAAACTAAGCATTTTTAATAAAAGCTAAGAAGATTTGGGGGAAATCTAAAACTTTTAATAAAAAATATTGATTTTATTTCTTAAAATACTTCTGTTTTTTTCTCCTTGGCAAATGTTAACAGAAATTACATGATTTACATGACTTGGGATATATGATGCTGCTCAAGTCCGATATCTGAAAAGTCTTAACATTAAAAAAAAAAAAAAAAAGAAAAGTGTCAACATTAGCCAGAGTAATCTGAATCATTTTCAACTTTAGAATAGCCAGTTACTATTGATACTTCCATTTTTAAATGTAAGCATTATAAGCATTATACCTTTATATATCTCTATTTTCTTCGTGTTTAAAATAATAATAAAAACAATCATATTCCAATATTACTGTTTGTTTCCTATGTTGTAAACCTGACTTTTTCCACTGAACTAGTTGACTACATTACAAACTTGGTGTGAAATATTTCAGATTTTGTTTTTCTTTTTGAGTGAAAAAGCACCCATAAAGTTAGAAATCACCTTAAAAAATAAAAAAAAGGAGTCACCAAAACATTCTTAGAGAATCTCATCTGTCCAAGGTCCAGGAAAGTAACACATGAATACAGGACAAAAAGATTCACCAACATCAACATCAGAAACGCATGGGAAGGGCGCCTGGGTGGCTCCGTGGGTTAAAGCCTTCACCCAGCTCAGGTCATGATCCCAGAGTCCTGGGATCCTCCCCCCGCCCCCACCCCAATCAGGATCTCTGCTCAGCGGGGAGCCTGCTTCCCCCTCTCTCTCTGCCTGCCTCTCTGCCTACTTGTGATCTCTGTCAGTCAAGTAAATAAATAAAAATCTTAAAAAAAAAAAAAAAAAAAAGAAGAAAGGCATGGGAAAAGTATGTGTTCTTCCCAGGTCTGATTTTGAACTGGAATATCTGAGGATTGCTTTGAGAGACTCCCTTTCCCTTTCCCTCCTCCATGTATACTGCCTAGACCATACCATTTAGCCTAGCACACCAGTGTGCCCTTGGGTTTTTGTACTCCATTTCTTTCCTCTAGGATACCCTTTGCCAGAATTGTTACTGTTGTTTTTAATAAACATCCAGAAGTGTTGGGCTGTGTTTTACCATTTCAAAGGATTTTCAGGTCAATGCTTTTCCTGTGATTTAAAAAAAATACAAACTTAATTTTACTATGGTGTTTAATGAACCTGTGATAAATATGAAAAATCTATGTTTGAATTTAACCTAGGACCTGGATTCTTCATGATAAGGAATGACTGAGACATTAGGTCAGCCTTTCTATGGAAAAGAAGTTATGCATAGTTGAAAAAATAGACAGGAGGAAAAAATAATTATTTTGTGCCCTTTTTGTCCTAGCTACTATATATACATCACCTTATTTAACACTTATATAAACTCTCAAGGTAAGTTACTATCATCTCTATTTTGCAGATGAGTAAGCAGGTATTAAAGAGAACAAGTACTATGATTTATATCCAGGCTCCAAATGAGGAGTTCAGGATCGAACTCAGGTAAGCCTGCTTCCAAAGCCCCTGCTCCTTTCACAAAAACATCTGCTTCGCTACTTGTAATAATATTGATGTCTGTTAATAAACAGACAAAAATACAATAAATCTTTGCGGGCAATTTTTTACTAACCTATTTGTCTCCATTCATGGGAAACAGGATGGCGTAATGGAGGATAAGAACACAATTTTGGATGTCAGGAAGCATAGATTCCAATCTTGACTCTAATAGTGATTAATTACTTTACCTATAATACCTATTAGAGTATCAAACTAAAGTAGCCTCCATGAGGTTCTATTTTCTCATGTGTAAAATGGGAATAATAACAGCATCTAGATCATAAGGTTATATTATAAATAAGATAATGAAAATTAAGTCTTCAACAGTGCATTACATATAGTTTAAGAGTGCAACAACATTACTATAACAATAGTATCTTTTGTGAACTTCAACACATATAAAAAAATTAAAATAATCTGCTTATTAGTAGCAAAAAAAGAATAAATTCTGATTTATTACTGTGCTAGGACTAGAAAGTTTAACTGTGATGGGGTGAGGCTTGTCAATAAAGGCATTATCATCATTTAAAAACATAAGTAATCCTTAAAAAAATAAAACAAGGTGAAATCAGAGAGGGAGACAAACCATAAGAGACTCTTAATTGTAGAAAACAAAATGAGGGTTGCTGGAGGGGAGGGAGGTAGAGGGATGCGGTAACTGGGTCATGGGCATTAAGGAGGGTATGGAATGTAATCAGCACTGGGTGTTATATAAGACTGATGAAAAACAAGAACAAAAACAAAAAAATAACCCATAAGCAATCCTTAAATTAGGAATAAAAGTGTCAGTACAAACACAACTGCATTTGCTTTTCATTAATGGACTTTAGACTGACCAAGTAACTAAAGACTTGAAATGCCCCCGTACTCAATTCTTTGCTTGAATATTCCTCTGCATCTGGTAAGGGTTACAAACCATGGATATCAATGGTGAAATCTTCCTTAATGAAATCCAGGAGCTTACATAAGCCTGAAATTGTTTGGTATAGAGCTTTCAGCAAACTAGCAATGCAGGAGGAACACCTACAACATAACAGCTACAGCAATGAAGTATAAGTAAATAACTTGCGGCTGTGGGGAACAAAGGGATTCATCCAGTTTAGCATTTTATTTTAGCTCAATGGCGATACAATTTCAAACTGGTATCACTGACTAAGGTTGAGTTTATAGGTTGTCATGACCACAATTCCAAGGGCTGAGAGTTTTTTCAGCATCTCATGGTATCACAGCAGGGGTAATTTTCTTATCATTAATTTTAATTTCTTTCTCTCTTTTTCTTTGGCCTACTTTGCTTAGTGACCTACAGAATTTATCACCCTCTTAACCTTATTTAGGTCATGAAATGGAACAGGGAGAGATGTCATACTGCATTTAGTCTGTAGAAAAGAAAGATTTCCAAATCTTTGGAAGGGATAAAAGTCTAGGGTATCTGATTTGGTTCCATAATGAAAATCTATCATTTTACCTCTAAGATTAACTGTTTAAGAAAAATATATTATATGTGAATGTTTACTTTCCCTCCCTTCCATGTGAATATAAGTCTAGTGGGAATATTTTTAATAGTGTAACAAAGTATTTTTGAATTTTATCAGAAGTGTCTTACATAATAATTCATGTCTAACTTACATTTGTCATTCATCTGTAGAACTTGTGACTTAGAGAAGCCATTACCATGTCTTAATTTGTTCTCATGAGGGACAATACTTAAAAATGAGCTGGCCTAGGTTTCACATTTTATTTATGGGCTCTGATATCTGAATACCATATACTTTCTATGATTCATAAAATATTCTTTAATTTTTTCCAAGCATTTAAAAATGAAAAAACTTCTTAGCTCATCTATCATACAAAAACAATGGTGGGCTGGATTTGGCACATGGGCTGGCTATAATGTGTTTACTTCTGCACCAGGTGATTGAATTGAAAGAACAGACACACCATGCTCTTGATTTATCGAAACAAAGTACACATCTATGAATATTTATCTTACTTGTGTAAAGATAACCTGGTCACTCACTGTGAAGAGCATTCCCAAACTCTTCCACTAAAACAGTGCACTAGGCTAAGGCCTTCTTGACAAAGTAATCTTTAGTCCTTTGGCAAATAGAGCTAAATCAACTGTTCTTAAAAGACTTTTTATTATTTATTCATTTATTTGACAGAGAGAGAGACAGTGAGAGAGGGAATACAAGCAGGGGGAGTGGGAGACGGAGAAGCAAGGGGAGTGGAAGACAGAGAAGCAGGCTTCCCCCTGAGCTCAATCCTGGGACCCTGGGATCATGACCTGAGCCAAAGGTAGACTCTTAACAACTGAGCCATCCAGGCGCCCCTAAATCAATTTTTTTGTTAAGTTACATAGATCTTATCTGATAGGAAAGAATCTATATTCGTGGTCTATATTCTTTAGGGATACCAATGTATAATTAATTTTTATTACAAAGACAAATTCATATTCTTGTATCATTAATAATATCAAATGCATTCTTTAGTCTAAATAGTACTATTATGTCTATGTATCAAATAACTATAAAAATCGATTTGCTTAATAGCAGAAAACAAGTATGTTGCAGGACAAGTGAATGTTTATTAAAGGTTACCTCCTTTAACTTTTGAGGTGTCAAGGAAGCTCGCTCTTGTAAATAACCAAATGATTTTTATAAAGTCAATAATAGTGCCAATAATGTATGAGTAGAACCCTAACCTCATTTCTTAATCTCTTTGGGCCTCAGTATATTCAAGGATTAAAAAACAACAATGTCTTGGGGTACCTAGGTGGCTCAGTCAGTCAAGCGTCTGATTTCGGCTCAGGGCCTGATCTCAGGGTCCTGGGATCAAGCCCCAGATCAGGATCTGCACTCACTGGGGAGCCTGCTTGTCCCTCTGCCCCTCCCCCTGCTCCTGTTCTCATTCTGTCTCTTGCAAACAAAGAAATAAAATCTTCAAAGAAACCCAACAATATCTTTTTTTTTTGTTTTGTATACATATTTTTAAAAATTTTTTAATTTTAATCTTTATTTATTTATTTTTTATCAACATATAATGTATTATTAGCCCCAGAGGTACAGGTCTGTGAATCGCCAGGTTTACACACTTCACAGCACTCACCATAGCACATACCCTCCCCAATGTCCATAACCCCACCACCCTCTCCCTACCCACCCCCCCAACCTTCAGTTTGTTTTGTAGGATTAAGAGTCTCTTATGGGGGTGCCTGGGTGGCTCAGTGGGTTAAGCCTCTGACTTCGGCTCAGGTCATGATCTCAGGGTCCTGGGATCGAGTCCCGCATCGGGCTCTCTGCTCAGCAGGGAGCCTGCTTCCTCCTCTCTCTCTCTACCTGCCTCTCTGCCTACTGTGATCTCTGTCTGTCAAATAAATAAATAAAATCTTTAAAAAAAAAAAAAAAAGAGTCTCTTATGGTTTGTCTCCCTCCCGATCCCATCTTGTTTCATTTTCCAACAATATCTTTTCATGGTTTTATACAAGTTCTTTGTAAATAGTGACTTGCTATAAAAATACAAAAAAAATTATTGCTTAAAATACCTATTTCAAAGTTCAAAAATTATGAGTGTATATATGTCTATATGGATAATTTTTAAGTAAAAATATTATTGAATTTATTCAAAATTTGGAATTAGGTATTGGAAATAGTAACTTATTTGAGTGTGTGTTTGTGGGTATAGAACACAAGATAGATGTGTATATATTTGAAAGAAGCTTAAATTTACATTTTAAACATACAGTTTTTAGTGAGTTTGTTTATAAGTCTTTTAAACCTGCATCCTTCCCCAGAAAAGATATACAAAGTTGTGCTGGAGAATATGACCCAGTTTTTCAAATTAGCATTCATGAAGCTTGGTGGTTGAGTCTTAGCAGAACATACTGAAAATGTAACTCTAATTGTTTACAACCCCTTCTACTCCTATGTTTTTTAATATCACCATTTAGAAAGCCCTGAGGATGCATTTATGTGAATAAAGAGAACCTATAATCACATGGTTAGGTGACTGCCTTTTCTTTGCTCTAAAGATTTACTGTCACAAAAACAAGTTTATATTTTGTGGCTGATTTAAATTTTAAAATTAATGAATGTTCAGTTTTTAAAAGTAGAAATACCGAAAGATATAAAGAAGACAAAAATTTACACATTGTCCCACTTTTCCAAATAAAATCACACTTAATATTTTGGTGAATTTTAGATCCATTTACATTTAAACTACTGAATTAAAATTTACATAACATTTGCATGCTGATGCTTTTAACTTAATATTATGCCATAATCCTTTTTCCAATGTTGTCATACAGAATGCAAAAAGCATCACTATAGCAGTCAGGGCTTGATCAGAAGAAAATAAGAAGGCATTTTATTATAAGGATTTGATCTTATGCAACTGAGAAGGCAGGACAGATGGTCTATGTGAAGCTGTCCTTTGGTGCAAAAGCCTGAAGCTAGCAGGGCAGGCCATTGAGAAAGAAGGAGAGCCATAAAGTAGAGGAGGAGCAGAATTCTCTAGGAACCTATCTGGCTGAGCTGGGACTGAGAGACTGGGCTGGAACTAAGACTGGTTTCACACAGCCCCCAAACCTCCAGCTTTGAAGATGGAGAGAACCTGCAAAGAGAAACAGGCATCCACCCTCAATAGCAAAACACACACCTGGCCCTGGGGCTGGAGATGTTGCTGAAGGAGCACCAGGGGGAGCTGGAGGAGCTATGGCTGGCTCCAGACCTCAAGCAGGAGCTGCAATACCATGGGGTCCTCCACACAGCCCTTCCCCATGAGGAAAGAACAAGGATGCTGTGACTTTACTTCACTTTCCAAATCTCACACAAAAGGGCCCACTTTGGCATGCCTAACTCAGAACTGTGCAGAAAATGGAAATATGTACCCTGCTCAAGTGAACACAGTACAAATCTACCATAATCATTTTCATTTTAATGCCTATACAATAGTTCGTGAAGCAGGCATACTATTGTTAGTACCACAATGTGCAATGATCAAATATTGGGAACATTGAGATGCCTAATAGAATTTATATATACTTTATTATTTTGCACATTGTCTCAAGGGATCGTGCGGTTGACACTTGGTAGCTGTCGAAATTTACTGATTCTTCTGCTGTGTAACCGACTTAATACTTGCTTTCAGGTTTCAGCTTAAGTGTGAAAGTCATGAAGTCTTTCCTGATTTTATAAAACGTGTTTGTGGTTCTCCATGGTGATCTCATAATGCTCTACATTAGCTCTACTGCAGAGTCCTTATATAAGCACCCATGTCTTTCACTAGATTCTAAATTACTTGAGGGCAGAGTATCTCACTTACTATTGGATCTCCAGTTTGTAGAAGTAGGTAAGCAATCAGTGCTTTTGAATTCACAAAATCAAATTGTTAGCTAAACCAAGAAGATATATTCTTTTCTTCTGTGTGTTTTCCTTATTTTAAAATATGATTTGTTTTCTTCAGAAAAATGGAATGAAGACCAGCTTTCCTCTGGCTTCATTTCACCACCAAACAATAATGTTTTGAGGTTTTCTGTTTTGGGTCAACTATTATTCTTTTTAGCTCTAATTAAATTTAATTAAAAACTTTAAAAAATTGGATTATAGTTGATACACAATGTTACATAGTGTATACACACATATGTATACAGTGATATGACAACCCTCTATGTTATGCTATGCTCTCCACAAGTGTAGCTACCATCTGTCACCATACAATGCTATTACAATACCATTGAATAAATTCCCTATGATGTACTTTTCATTCCTATGACATGGACCAACTATTATAAAAGTTAATAAGCTGAATAGAGACTCCAGAAATGGACCCTCAACTCTGTGGTCAACTAACCTTCAACAAAGCAGGAAAGAACATCCAGTGGAAAAAAAAACAAAAAACAAAAAACAAAAAAACCAGTCTCTTCAATAAATGGTGCTGGGAAAACTGGACAACCACATGCAGAAGAATGAAACTAGACCATTCTCTTATACCATACACAAAGATAAACTCAAAACGGATGAAAGACCTCAATGTGAGATAGGAATCCATCAAAATCCTAGAGAAGAACATAGGCAGTAACCTCTCTAACATTGGCCACAGCAACTTCTTCCAAGACACATCTTTAAAGGCAGGGGAAACAAAAGCAAAAATAAACTTTTGGAACTTCATCAAGATGAAAAGCTTTCCTTTCCTTGCACAGGAAAGGAAACAGTCAACAAAACTAAGAGGCAATCCACAGAATGGGAGAAGATTTTTGCAAATGACATTTCAGATAAAGGGCTGGTATTCAAGATCTATAAAGAACTTGTTAAACTCAACACCCAAAAAAACAAATAATCCAGTCAAGAAATGGGCAGAAGACATGAACAGACACTTCTCCAAAAAAGACATACAAATGGCTAACAGACGCATGAAAAAATGTTCAACATCACTATCCATCAGGGAAATATGAATCAAAACCACAATGAGATACCATTTTATACCAGTTAGAATGGCAAAAATTAACAAGACAGGAAGCAACAAGTGTTGGTGAGGATGTGGAGAAAGGGGAACCCTCTTACACTGTTGGTGGGAATGCAAGCTGGTACAACCACTCTGGAAAACAGTTTGGAGGTTCCTCAAGACATTAAAAATAGAGCTACCCTATGACCCAGCAATTGAACTACTAGGTAGTTATCCCAAAGATACAGATGTCAGATGGAGTGAAAAGAAGGGGCACATGCACCCCTAATGTTCATAGTAGTAATGTCCACAATAGCCAAACTGTGGAAGGAGCCAAGATGCCCTTTAACAGGCAAATGGATAAAGAAGATGTGGCTCATATATATGATGGAATATTACTTGGTGATCAGAAAGGATGAATACCCACCATTTGCACTGACATGGTTGGAACTGGAGGGGATTATGCTAAGTGAAATAAGTCAAGCAGAGAAAGACAATTATCATATGGTTTCCATTCATATGTGGAACATAAGGAATAGCATGGAGGATCATAGGGGAAGGGAGGGAAAATGGAGTGGGAAGAAATCAGAGAGGGAGACAAATTTTGAGAGACTCTGGACTCCAGGAAATAAACAGAGGGTTACAGAGGGGAGGCTGGTGGAGGGATGGGGTAGCTGGGTGATGGGTATTAAGGAGGGCACATATTGTGATGAGCACTGGGTGTTATACACAACTAATGAATCGTTGACGCCTACATCAAAAACTAATGATGTAATATTTGCTGGCTAACTAAACATAATAAAAAAAAAAAGTTAATAAGCAGTAGTTTAAAAAAGAAGTAATAGCTATGTACTGTGCTTCTGCTAAACATATTGTGAAGAAACTAGTTAATTCATTGCCATTCTTTTGGCAAATATTCATGTGGACTAAATACTAATCTGATATTCATGCCATTGTCTCTGATTCATCTGTTATTCAGAGTGCTTTTACAGATAATATCTTCAACTTAAAGATGAAAGGAGATGGGACGCCTGGGTGGCTCAGTTGGTTAAGCAGCTGCCTTCGGCTCAGGTCATGATCCCAGCGTCCTGGGATCGAGTCCCACATCGGGCTCCTTGCTTGCCGGGGAGCCTGCTTCTCCCTCTGCCTCTGTCTGCCTGTGCTCGCGCTCTCTCTCTCTCTCTCTCTCTCTGACAAATAAATAAATAAATAAAATCTTAAAAAAAAAAACCAAAAAACAAAAAACACTGCCTTTAAAAAAAAAAAAAATAAAGATGAAAGGAGAGACTTTAAATAAAGGACAAGCACAAGAAAATGTAATGCCTGAGTATTCTGTTTTTTCTTTTTCATTTTTTTCTTTTCAGTTGTCTGTTACTACTGTCAGTATATTTAAAAGGTTTCACTTTTGCACTTTTCTAAACATAATCAATTATTGAGCCCTATTTATGTTAGTGAGCTGGGAGTGCTAAAATGATAGTAGGCTTGTCTCCAAATTTATGAGATGGCTATATCTATTACAACACTTTCTAGATACTTTCTTTTTGCATATTTTGGCTTTATTTTCCACCTAAATTACTAAGTTCTAAAGTAGTTAATTATTAAGCAGTTATCACATTTTCCAAAAATTTTTTTACCAATAACTTATCCTTTTCATCATTTGATAATATCTTTGAGTTTGCTGAAGTCAGCTTTTAAGACCGTGATCAGAACTGATTCAGTATCATATTTCCCTCACCTCTTTGCCCCTGGTACTCACTGCTTTTATGACTTAAATTTTGTTACTTTCCACATAAAAGTGAGCTAATGCAGTATTTCTTTTTCAGTGTATGGCTTATTTCACCTAGCATAATGTCCTCTAGGTTCATACATGTTGTGGCAAAAGGCAGGATTTCCTTCCCTTTTTTAAGGCAGAATAATATTACACTGTATATATATACCATATCCTTTTGTCCTTTTATTTGTCAATAGTTAGGTTGTTTCCATGTCCTGGCTATTGAGAAAAGGCTGCAACAAACATGGGATTGCAGGCATCTCTTTGAAATACTGATTCTATTTCTGTTGGGCGTCTATGTAGAAGTGGGATTGCTGGAGATCTAATATATGGCACGGTAGCTACAGTTAATGATACTCTATTGTATACCTGAAATTTGATAAGAGAGTTTATTTTTTTTTAAGATTTTATTTATTTATTTGACAGACAGAGATCATAAGTAGGCAGAGAGGCAGGCAAAGAGAGAGAAGGGGAAGCTGGCTCCCTGCTGAGCAGAGAGCCCGATGCAGAGCTCGATCCCAGGACCCTGAGATCATGACCTGAGCCGAAGGCAGAGGCTTTAACCCACTGAGCCACCCAGGCGCCCCAAGAGAGTTGATCTTAAGTGTTCTCACCACACACACACACAAATCATTATGTGAGGTGACATATAGTAATTAGCTTGATTATGGTAATTATTTCACAATGTATACATATATCAAAAAAACATGTTGTATGTCTTAATTATATATACTATTTGTCAAGTATACCTCAATAAACCTGGAAAAAAACTGAGAAGTGCCATATATATCTTCTATATTATCTTCTCCCATTCAGTAAACTGCCTTTTAAATTTCGTTGTTTCCTTTGCTGTGCAGAAGCTTTTTATTTTGGTATGGTTTATTTTTGCTTTTATTTCCCTTGCCTTAGGAAACATATCTAGAAAAATGTTGCTATGGCCAATGTCACAGAAATTAGTGTCTGTGCTCTCTTCTAGATTTTTATGGTTTCAGTTTTCGCATTTAGGTCTTTAATCCATTTTGAATTTATTTTTACGTATGGTATAAGAAAGTGGTCCGGTTTCATTCTTTTGCCTGTAGCTGACAAGTTTTCCCAACACCGTTTGTTGAAGAAACTTTTTCC